CCGGGCACAGGTGAGGAACCCTGTGTCTCCCTCACCCTCACTGTACCCTCCAGATCCCCCAAGGGCCGTCAGCTCCAGGGAAAGGCTGGGAGCAAGCACACATCTCTGCCCATTCCTGTCACGGTACAGGTGCCACACTGTCATCTCACCCACGGCAAGTGCCCCAGGGCCAGATGGACCAGTGACTTGGCTTCAGCTCCTCCCAAAGGTGCAGTCCCAGGGCAGGTGGTAAGGACCAGCAGGAACTGTCAGGGCGCGAATCTGGCTCACGCTGCCATCCCTCTGCCATCTCCGTACCAGTCCCTCTCCCCCAGGCTCCCACCCACACACCCTAGCCCAGGACCGAGATGGCATGGGCAGAGCGGCCCCACCCTTTCTGGGAATCTGTGTTTCACGGTGCAGGCCAGGAACACACCCCATTCCTCTGGACTTTCCCCAGAGTTCCAGGGAATGAGCCAGCCCCAGGTCCTGTGCCAATGGTGGGAACAGGACCCTCAGCTTTGGGCTCTGGTACCTCTGACCTCGCTTCAGGCCCGGCTGCTCCCCTTTGCTGCTCCATCTCCCCCCAAAATCCAGTCCACACTGGCCTAACACACATTCACGTTGTCCCCAGACATTCGGTCCCTTTGGGGCCATCAGATGTGACTCTCTCTGACTCCATTGCATGTTACTGGTATCAACTCGGACTTTTCTGTTGCTGGGTGCTGGCCTGGTCTCCTGTTTCTCTCTCTCTCTCTCTCTCTCTCTCTCTCTCTCTCTCTCTCTCTCTCTCTCACACACACACACACACACACACACACACACACACACCAAGTGTCATGGGAGCCTGGCCCACCCGGTAGGCTCACAGGACACCAGTGAGGCCACCCCACTGGGCTGGGCCTGGACCAGAGGCAAAGCCATCGGGGAGGGCTCAACCTTGTGGAGCACAGCATGTAACAACATGTAACAAGGGGGCCGCAGATTTACACTACAAACGATGGCTGCAAAGTCCCCTGTGTCCTCATAGGCATTCTTCATGGAAGAGAAACTGGCAAAGTGTCATTCTTAACATCAGATACTTCTGTTCCTCAAAAGACACCATTAGGAGAGGAAAAACAGGCCCCCGTGTACCAAGATACCACATCCACACACCCAGCCCAGGTCTCTACCTGGATTCCATAAAGACAGTCCACAGAGGAAAAGTCAAAACCTGGAAAAAGGGGTGGAAACGTGAACAAATGCTCCACAGGAGAGGAAGAGCCAGCAGCCATGTGTGAGGGACATGTAAGCCTACGAACAGCATGGACAACAGAAGCAATGGGCCCCCTCCACCCTAGGGAATCCCCTACATACGTGGGTATGTAAAATATACAGCCACCTTGGAAACGGTGGCAGTAACCTGGGAAACTACACACACACCTCTTTAATCACCCAGAAGTTCCACTCCCAACAGAAACGTACAGGCACAGAAGACACACATAAGGACAGTCACAGCAGCACCTTCATGTCAGCTGGGCTGGGAACAGCCCGCATGCCCATCAACATTGCTGAGCAGACAGATAGGCGTGTGTGTCCAGTGAAATTGCACATGGCGGTGAGAGGGACACACCACAGCCACACTCCATTTCACAGTCCTGGGGTAGAGGCTGTGTGAGCCTGTCTACCTCAAGCTCAGGGGCTTGATGGCAGGATGGGGGCTCCCTGGCAGCGGGAGGGCAGATCTAGGGCACCTCAGGCCCTGCTTTGACCTGGATGGGGGCTGCATGGCACAGAACTCACCAGATATAGACTCATGTGCTCCACTGTTGGCCGGCCACTCCTCACAGGATAAAGGGGTGTTGAGGAGCCTCTGAGATGGGGGGTGAGTGCAGACTGACCTCACAGCATACTATGAAAGGGAAGCAGCGCCTGAGCCCACCCCTCCACGTGTTTGCGTCTCCGCTGGTCCCTGAATTGCCTCCCAGGTCCTGAATCTCTCATTTTCCTGACAGTGGGAGACCTGGGCCTGTTTCTATCACATCCTTCTGTCAACAAGGAAAGGACAAGCCAGCAAATATTTGTTAAATCACAAAGCCATCTGGGCAGAACTCTACTAGCCTGCAGTCCCAACAAAGGCACCTGGGACAGAGCCCTGGAGTTTGCACATGGAATTCCAGTGTCAGTCCCCAGACAATAGTCTGTACAACCTTGGGTTTTCGGGGGTGCAGAGGAGCCAGAGCAGCTCCACGTGTCCTCTCCAGTAGCCCACAGCCTCGCTGGGCAGCATGGAGCCCATGTCCAAGGCCCTGTGTGCTGATCTCCCATCCCGGGACCTGGTCAGAGCAGCCATCACAGACTCCAGTGAGGCTTCCCCAAAGGACAACCGCTCTCAGGGGAGCTGACACTGACAGTCACCCTGGCAGGCACTACTCTGAGTCTTTATGTGGGGAACCCCAACTGTCTTAGCACAGTAATGATGGGCCAATAATCTGTGGGCCCAGGCAGGCTAAGTAACTTGCCAGACACCATGTGGCCATTGAGCAGTGGGGCTGGGACCAGGACAGGAGCTCCAGGAGCTGGGTGTCCCCAGTCCCTTGCATGGTAAGGGAGGGGCCCGGATGGAGCTGTGTCTTTCCTGGGAGGTGAGCCCACTGCCTGTGCAAATCTCCCCAAGGACGCGTGGGGTGAGCCCTGGATGAGTGTCCACAGGCTGTCTGAGTTGGTGCAGGCTCTCCCAGGAAGGAGCAGCTGTGTGCACAGCCAGCCGGGAAGGGGCGCTGGCCCTGTCCTCCAGTGGCCAGCGGCGGTGGGTCCCCACCAAGCGTCAGAATCTCAGCACATGGTTGGTGGGGATGAAAGCACCTCCTTGGGGTGGGGGTTTCGTCCATCCAGGGCCACGCCATCACCATGTGTGAGATATGGCCCTGGGGTCACTGCTGCTGCAGGTCCCGGTGCCATGTGGCCCCCTGCCTTCCTCAACACCAACCTCAGGAACTTGTCAAAAACTGTTTACTAGCTTTGACTTTTCTTTCCCACTTAAAAAAATTAATTTTGTTTGTTGTAAATTATATATGAGGTAAAATTAGCCGTATATCCACGTTTCAGTGTGCAGCCCGGTGCAGGAAGTCACTCCTGTGTGTTTCAGTAATTAAACCAGGAGGGCGCCTTTTGCAGGCAACACGGGACCTCAGCCAAAGTCAGCACCTGGACCCGAGAAACCGGGACCTGATCAGAGCAGCCATCGCAGACACCTGCGAGGCTTCCCGAAGGACAGCCGCTTCAGCTGAGGCCAACCAACCAGTTTCCTTGCTTCGCCTCCACACCTTCTTTATAAACCCCGAGCCGCACTCCTGTCGCTCGTGTGGCTCTTGTCGGGGGAACACTCCCAACCACTTCCACCCATTGGAATGG